GCCCCATCAAAAAATGAGAGAAGTTTACCATGTCCCTTTCCCTGCCCTCTTAGTGCCATTTTTTAGGCCTGTGAAAGCACTGAAGAGAAGCTCTCTTGCATTGCGTTCACACACTACACTAGGAGTTGAGGTGGGCTTCAACTGATCAAACACATCCCCTTTAGACATCCAAGAATCCCCTCATGGCACTCTTAGGATTGTTCACCTAATCCTAAAGGAGACACCTAAACTGGGACATATGAATTGTTCCCTGAAACACCTGTTTCTCTCCATCAGCAAAGAAGAAAACAAAGGGTGGTATCTCAAATCAAGGGAAAGGAATCACATTAATTTTCTAGCTTTTCTAGTTCTCAGAGTGTAAAAGTAGCAGAGGTTCTCACATGTCACAGATACCTGAATGATTACGAGGAGTAAATTGCAAACTCAAAGATAAATGACTCATGAGACAAAGAAAATTTCGCCACCAATTGCCATTTAGTGAAACAATCCACCCAAAGAGACACAAATACTACAGGAAGGACATCAACCTGTTGGACCGAATCCAGAGGAGAGCCACCAAGATGATTAAAAGAATGGAGTATCCCACAAGGAAAGACTAATAGGGTTTGTTCAGCCTGGAAAAAAGACAGCTTAGGGGTGACCTAATTACAGCCTTCCAGTACCAGAAGAAAGCCTACAAGAAAGATGGAGAGGGGCTTCTTACAAGAGCATGTAGTGGCAGGACAAGGGGGAATAGACTCAAACTAAAAGAGAATAGGTTTAGATTAGATATTAGAAGGAAGTTCTTTGCTGTGAGGATGGTGAGGCACTGAAACAGCTTGCCCAGAGAAGCTGAGGATGGTCCATCCCTGGAGGTGTTCAAGGCCAGGCTGGATGGGGCTCTGAGCAACCTGGTCCCGTGGAAGGTGCCCCTGCCTACGGCAGATGGGTTGGAAGTGGATGATCTTTAAGGTCCCTTCCAACCCAAACCATTCTATGATTCTATGATTTCCTCTTCAGATAAAGGAGAGAGAAAAAGCAAAGGAGGAATCATCATCTGCTGCAAGACTCAAAGTCCATGAGTTGGATGTCCATGCCAAGCTGGATGGACAAGATGACTTTCAGCTTTCAACCACCCTGTGGATAAAAAAAAAAGTCCTCTTTTGTGCTGATCTGAGAGATTTCATGTCATGGTGTGGTAAATATAAGAGTTTCTTCTATAGCTCTGAAAACTTGGCTGTGATTGCTTACAAAAGATGTGACTTATCTCACAAAATCCTCCCCTGCCCCCCAGAAATGTCACTGCATAAGAAAAACACAGCTTGCTTCTAGAAGAATGACATGACTCAAAAACTAAGACAAGCTAGAAATATCCTTGGGCTGGCACACAAGGAACGTGATGCCAAATGGGGACAGGATGATGGCGGACAAGATGAATGGCATCACCGTGATCTGGCACCACTTTCACACGTTTGTGGTTCACTAAAAGGCATTACAGAGGGTGGAACAAAAGCACAACACTTTCCTGGTGGTTTAATCTCACTGTTGAATGAATAAGGCATCTTAGAGCAGCTTGACAATTGTGAGAAGAGGGCTGGCTTCAAAGGATATCAGGAACAAGCAGGGAGTCTCTCGGGAATGCAAAAAAAGGAACCTCGTAAAGGGACAAAAGTGAAAGAAAGAGTATGGAGTAACATCTAAGGATCATATAGGCAAAGCTTGAAAGTAAAAATGATACTTTATGATATTTTAACCAGGACACATGCCATGGTTCATTGTGTGGACAAGGCGAGGTGGCTAAATGGGAATAAGCACACAGGGCTGGAAAGTGTCTGAAGGGAAAAAAGACATCAAGGAACCTTGAACCAGGTGCACTTGAATCAGGGACTAAATTACTTCTATCCCAAATGTTACAGATGTGCATATTGTGCAGGAAACTGGGTCTGGCAGCAAGTCTGTCTGAACAAATCTATCCAGGAAGGATGGCTTCCTGAGTGGCACCCAGAGCCTGGCTTTCTGAGCCTAAGAAACCAAAGGCTAAAAAGGTAGGTTCATTGCCTTCCACAAATATAGCAGGGAGGAAGGGGAAAGCAAATAGAGGAGAGGAAAGGTTCCATTTAACCTAAAGCACAGTCTTGGCAGGAGAACAAATAAGTACAGACTGTCCACAAATATACTTAGGCTGAAAATTAGAAGGTTTCTTGCCTCTACAGTGATCGTGACCTCTTCCAAAGGCAAAGCATAACATTTCTTTGAAAACAGAGTTTCAGGCTGACTCCTTTCAAAAGCTCATAAAAGAGATTTCTATGATAGCAGTAGGGTTGGCTAATAAGCTGAAAGGTCTCCTGTTCCTAAAAACAGCTGTGTAGATCCAGAATAGTTATAAGAAGGTGGTTTAAAAATATTTATTTTGCATGCTGAACTAGAAATAATTCAGCAGCAATTATGCAAAACCCCACTAGTCCCTTCATTGACTTTAGTGAAGTCCTGTTTGTGAACCTTCAACTCATTTATTGCTACTTTAGCTCCCTGAGAGCAAAAGGAATGGGGAGAATAGCTCCACAGAGCTGGCACAAAAATCGACAAATACATTTCTCCCCCCAAATCATACGAAACTAAACAGAAAAAAGATCTGGACTTCATAAGCGCTACCACGGAGCAGCAAAGCTGTTCTGAGAGTGCCACCAACACCACAGATGTGATATAAGAAAGAATTGTTTAGAATGAGGGTGGTAAAACACTGGCATAGGTTGCCCAGAGAGGAGGTGGTCTCATCTCTGGGAACATTTAAGGTCAGGTTGGATGGGTATCTGAGCAACCTGACCTTTAAAGGTTCCTTTTGCCCACACCATTCTATTATTTTATGGTTCTACAACTCTATGACCTTGGTCCTTTCTAAATCAGTGCCTGTGCAGAGCTACTCCTGTGCAGCTGTGATGAATCAGGTTTACACTGCACCTTATTCTGCAGGAACCTCCCTCCGTGAGGAATTTGACTGGCTTTGGCCAGTGCTACCTGCAGTCAGGTGCCCCTGACTACTTTCTGAATACTGATGCTGCATCGAGGTTCACAGAACAAAAGCAGAGAGGGACACATGACATATGCATATCTTTGAAGCTGCAAATGACTTTGAAACAAAACCACTAGTAGTTAATTTGCCAAGTGACGGAGAAGAAAAAGTGTCAGATTTTCTCTGTGTTTCCCGTGGAGCCCAAACCCTTTGCCAGGGCAGCAGCTTTGGAGGGGGGTATAGCTGAGCATTTGACACATGCACTATTTTGGGCTGTAAGAATTGTTAATAACTTTTTATGAAAACAATCCACTAAGTTTGCTCCCTGCTCCTTTCCAGCCATTTTCACTGCCTCATTTGCTGGGACTTTTTGTTACGATAGGTCATTTCATGTGGCTCATTGTGTTGAGATATTTTAGTACATCGTTCAAAACACAACAGTTTGCATTTGAAATAAATGCTGTGGTCTACTTCTCTGGCTTTTTGTTTTTTTCCTTAAACTCTGGCAGGTGACTGACTAGGGACAACCTGACTTGCATTTTCTCAGAGAATTCATATTTCTTAGTTCTGTATAGGATGAGACTTGGTGGTGTGTGATTTGAACCTCCAGCCATGGACTGGTATCCCATTCTTTAGTAGAAATTCAAAAATACCTTTTCTTTACATGAGGTTTTCCCTTAATTTTAAACACCACTGAAGGAATGCCAGCATCAGGATCTACCGTGGAAAGGAGGACCAAAGGAGGCCATGAAGACAGTGAAGGGTCTAAAGGGGAAATCATACAAAGAGTGGCTGAGGTCACTTGGCTTGTTCAGCCTGGAGGAAAATTAAGGGAGACCTCATCACAGTCTACAGCTTCCTCACGAGGGGAAGTGGTGGGGCAGACACTGATCTCTTTGTGGTGACCAGTGACAGGACCCAAGGAAACGGCATGAAGTCATGTCAGGGAAGGTTTAGGTTGGATATTAGAAAAAGGTTCTTCACCCAGAGGGTGGCTGGGCACTAGAACAGGCTCCCCAGAGAAGTGGTCATGGCATCAAGCCTGCAAGACATCGAGAAGCATTTATAGAACACTCTCAGGCACATGGTGTGATTCTTGGGGTTGTCCTGTGGAGGGCCAGGAGTTGGACTCTATGATCCTTGTGAGTCCCTTCCAACTCAGGATATTCTCTGATCCTATGACCAGTTCCAATGGGAAAAAAACCATTCCAGAATGGAAGTTATTCCTAATCAGTTCAGGACATCCTGAGTGCAGCCCTCACCTGAATCCACGCTCATTTCCCTGTCTACACAAGCTGTACTGAGCTCTCTGAGTCTACCTGCTGCTGAAGGCCCAGAAACAAAAGCCCTGGATTTTCTGTGATTTCAGTCAATTCACCCACTGTCTGTTCCAGGCCAGAGTAGTTTTGCTGAAATAAATGGAGCAGCTAGAGCAGGTTGATCCTGCAGAGCTGTGAAGAAGCTGCCAAGGGAGGGTGAGGACCACCAACAGCTTCCAGTCCCAAACACTTCTCTGTGGGGGTCCTTGGTGATGGGTGTCTTGTTTGGACCTGTGGTTCTGGCTTGGGTGAGAGGTTAGATGAGGGTGAGAGCTGGGGGTAGGGAAAGGGCAGAGCCCCCTTGTTGGTGGGCTGTCAAGACATCTGGTCTCAAATTCATAGGGTCTCTTTCCTTCCTGCTTTCGAAGATGGATGCTACAGCTGTCCTTTCCCAAGCTGCAACAGTTGTGCATGTGCTTCAGGAGCTCTATAAAATAAAGCTTAATAGTTTAGAAATTCATCTTGCTGGCCCTTAGGTACCCCAAAGTATATTTCATCAGGCTCTTCCTTATTTGAATCCATCTAACCTGACCAGATTTAAAGCCTCAGATATGATATCTCAGATCCCTTTCAAAAGCAGAAAGGTTTCAGTTCCTATACAGGGCACCACTGACTTCAGGCTAGTTACTCACAAATCTGTATTTCTTATTACTGTCAAAGTGAGACAGAGAATTATTTCACAGTTATATCAGCATTTAAAAGAGCCTGAATATCCTGAGCAGAAAGGATGAATTATCACCCTGGGTGGAAATTTTCACTTCTGTAATTTTTAACAGACTTTACTGAATCAGATGCTCCAAATCTGTCCTATTCTTTGCTGGAAATTACTTTTTCTTTTCCTGTAATTTCCTGGTTTATTGTTATTGTCTATTTGCCTTTAGCACCCCAGTCCAAATGCTATTTATTGTGGGAAGCACGCACAAGACTCTTCCCACTCAAATTGAGTACTTTGGGTTTCATTTAGAAATGCTGTGCTGGAGATTTTTGCCATTTCAGGTAGTATCATAAACATCTCTGTATTCACAGTCAGTGAGAATTTGTTGTAACACTTAATTCACTGCTAGAAGGTGCTGGAAACAGAGCAGATGAGCCTGGTTTAAAAGCCAGCATGCAGCAGAATCAGCAGCATAACTCTACCATAAGAAATTGCAATTTGTCTCTACTTGAGTAAAAATTCACAGAGAAGTTACTTGCTAATCTTTGAACTAACTTTTAAGTCAGTCTGCCTGATTTCACATGATGGAAATGAATAAAAACAAGGGTAAACCCTTGATATTTTGCAATGCAAGATGTTTTCCATAAAGCCAGGACAAAATTAGAGCTTGTGTGCAATAACGCTGAAGACCCTTGGCTGTGGCTCAGCATCCCACCCTATTACACAAGGCAACAACAAAACAAACCCACTGTCCTTCTGCAGCTCACCATTCACTTCAGGACACCTCCTTACAACTCTCCTGTGTTCCTCTGCTTCCCCTCAGGAAATCTCACTGTGGCAATGTGCCAGGGAAGGAGCCACAGATCAGACTTGGCTTCAGTATGAGCTGAGCTGCATGAGGGACTCGACTGAGGCACTGGCCAGAAAGATTCACATTTATGTCCTGTCCCTAAGGGTCTCCTTGCTCCAGGACCAGATCAGAACCCAGGTTTCACCTGGGCAGGGCTTCTGGATTTCATAGAAAAGGCATCAACTGACTATTATTTTTCTTTCAGAGTCCTTTTTAATACCCAATTCATTCAAGTAGGGGTGATGATTAAGGTTAACAACCTACTTAAAAATATAAAGTTACTACATTGAAGTAAGAGGATGAGCCACAAATATCTTTCCTGAGCTTTTGCAAGGTAACAGATTGGCTTGTGGGTTCATAGAACTGTTTGGTTTGGATTGGAAGGCACCTAAGATCATCTAGTTCCAGCACCTCTGCCACGGTTCCACACCTTCCACTAGACCAGGTCACCCAAAGCCCTGTCCAACTCGATTTTGAACACTTCCAGGGATATAGAAAGGACACTTCAAGTCATTTAAAACAAAAAAAAGTATCTCTTTTAGGGAGGAAATCTCATCCGTTTCCCTGGTCCTTCCATGCACCTGCTAAGTTTTGGCATTTGACAATTGGCTTTGGCTGAGGACAAAAAATGCCAGCCAGGCTTGTCTAGAGGGTGCCACAGACACTGTGAGAGGTATCTTAAACTCACAGGAAGAAACCTCTACATGACAAATTCTGTTCCATCAGCCAGTGTTATAATTTCTGTCAGTGCCACTAATGCTGACAGCTGAACAGAATATATATATCATATATATATATCTATACCACAGCCAAAGAATACTTCTACAAAAATGCTTGGGTTTCATTTATTGAACAGGGCATGTCATGTAACTGTCCTCAAAAGTCTTTTATGATCACCTGCTATACCAAACTGAGAAGACAATTGAAATGTGTACTGTGGCATTCTACTTTACATACAGTATTACTCCAGTGTTACTGTTAATTTCTATGAACAGTTTGGACAATGAACTAGATGTGATACTTCAAAAATTTGCTGGTAACAAGAACATCCCAGCAGATAAACTCAGAGGTTAAAAAGCTTGAAAGAAATTCATAAATGAATCAAACTCTGCATGATTTAATTCATTACATACACATGCAAAATATTAAACTTGAGAATCATAGGCACAGACACAAATGAGGAACATGCAGGTTGGCAGCAGTGCAGCAAAAAAGGGCCTGGAGTTATAATGGATCAAAAAATAAGGATGTGCCAACAATATGAGGCTCTCTGTGAGACAGGAGATAATTACTCTGTTCTGGCCCACTCTGGAAAAGCTTCAGCTAGACCACTGTGGCTCAATTAGAATGAACAGAGACAAACTGGGGAGATTAAAGCACAGCAGCCAGAATGATGAAAGGACTCAAAACTGTGACCTACAGGCAAAGGCTGAAGAACAGCGGTTTATTTTCTCTAATAAAGAGGAAGCCTAAGGGGTTAAAACTTGCAGCTTTCTGCTATGTAAAAAGGTCAAAACTGAATTATTTCCCAGTAAAGTGGGAGAAAGATAAAAATCATCTTTGCAACAAGAGAAATGCAGGTAGTTTACTGCATACCTGTACAAGTACAGATCCCCTGACATAAATGGAAGATTTCAGGCAGACTAGATTCTTAATCCCATGTCACTATTAATTATGCTTAATGCCATTCCTAGAGAGTTGCCCTGCTGGGGCTATACCTGTCTAGACCCATATCTGAGCCCACACTGAGCACAGTATCCTGAGCAGATGGAGTTAGTTCCGGACAGTTGATAGGGGCCCAGAGTGAAAAGCTGCCACGACCTGCACTGGGTGAGAGTGTGATCCTCTGCTCTGCTAAAAGCAAAGCTCATGTGTGGCCTTACTTAAATCCTGTATCTGACAGCATGGGAAAGGGAGCACGTGCCATGTGGGAGCTGTCTTGGTGACTCACAGGAAGGTTTCTTGCTTGTGCTTCCAGAGAGGGAGAGTATTTTGTTGTGGTATAGGTGAGTTAAAAAAAGAAGGGGAGGTTCTTTAAACCAAGGAGATTGCTGCACCATGTAGGCAAATCTTGGTTTTATAACACAACTATCTGAAACAAGGTCATGACTGTTCTTAGCAACACTGGTATTTTTCTGCAGCAAAAAGCTACTTCCAAGAGTATCCTTCTGTCCAGTCATCGGCAAAGCATGACACAGAGCACTATTCAGTGAATTTCTTTCCTCATAACCCCCCCAAGAGCTTGAAATCTGCCAGGGTAAGGGCTTACTACACTTCTACTCTTGCTGAAGGAAGTTAAAAAGCTTGCCTCAAATCCATCCTAAAAGGCAGCAGATATAACTTCTATCTCCTTGCTGGAGGTGCATCCAGCTGTGCTGCTCCTTTGTGTGCAGGCTGTCTTTGTCCTGCGTGGCCCAGATGCAACAGCAAAAGACTCAGACCAAAATCTTTCAACCAAGTCAGTGATCAGCTTCTGCAGAGCTTCTGGTGGAGTAGCCTTGATCTCCATGAGCTGCTGGCATAAGAGAAGTTTGACTGTGTGAAAAGGGATAAAGAAGCAAGTCCTTAAACACTGAGTCTGAAACAACCTGGGAATGTTCCACCACGCTGTGAGCAACCCAGCACTCAGTCAACTGAAGTAGCTGCTCTGACAGGATTTAAGTCCCCATAATTAGGTCTTTCATATAAAAAAATCCGAGGCACAGCCTTTCAGTTTTAAATAGTCCTTGCCTGTGTTCACCCTGCTGCCTGGGTTCTGTGCAGCTCTGCCTCATGTGTGTGGAGGTTGTGTCATTATCCACCCGCAGCAGCAGCAGGAAATTTTCCTGGGCCCAAACCTAGCTTTTGGTTTAGTTCAGTTTCTGACACCTCATTCCTACTCCTGTCCTCAGGATCAACTCCCAGAGTGGGTGAGTCACTTCACAGCATTGGGAAGATGGAAATGAGGAGCTTGTTCTGGCTCCAGTACCTTCCTAAAACAGTTTGTGCAGTCTTGGGGCATGTGTTGGTGCAGCCCTTGAAGCACTGCAGCCAACACAAAGACCTTTCCCTGCCACTGACTGGGGATCTCAAAGGAAGCAGGCTTTATAGAAGGTCTTGAGAATTTTCCCCCATTCCCCCAGCACACAGACATAAACACAGGCCACATTTACTCTTCCCAGCTAAGGTGTGACTGCAAACCAGGAGCCGTGAGCCTGCAGGGATGGGCAGCAGGTAAAGTGGCAGCTGATGGCTGTGGGAGCTGCTAGTGCCTTCTGCTGTACCTTTCACAGATCTCCTTCTTTCTCTCTTCCCTGAGCTTGCTCAGGTGGTTTCATCCTCTGTCTCTGTCCTGGAACCCTCCTCACTACCATCCTCCCCATTGCTTTCCTGGCAGCATCTCAGTCACAGAGAAGCTCCAAGACACAAGTACCTTGGAAGGTGGCAATGGTGCTGTTGATCACCTTTAAGCCCTTGACAAGGTGAGAGAATAGTGAGAAGGTCTCTGGGTGGCAACTGCCAGCTGGGAAAGTGCTCTGGACAGAGGAGGCAGAGAGCTGGCAGCTGATAGATAGCTCCACAAGCAGAAGTTGATATTAGAGACTTAGAGATTGGAAAGAGTTAGTGATAAGGCCTAAACACAATCTGTCATCAAAAAAGAGCTCATGTTCAAAGCAGGAAACTTTTGGAGAACTTCAGTGGCAGATAATCATGATACTCATCCTTGTCACAAAAGTTGTTGATGTGTCTGTATGAGCTTCAAGGTGCTTCAAAGAGAGGTGAGAACTTAGATGTCCTAAACACACATGAAATTGAGGGTTAGTCACATAAGAAAAGGAACATAAAGCTCACCTTATTGCCTTACTGTGTCTGTAAGAGTATTTGTCTAGTCACAAATAATTGTCAGAATATTTAGATCTGAATCAGACATCCATCTGAACCCTCCGAACCCTCTCTTTGCAAATGCAGGCTGTGATCCTCACACAACTGGGCTTTCCTGTTGAGTCCCCTGGCACTGCTGTGTGTGTTCATGGCTAGACACACCACAAGTGAAACCTCTCCTGTGTGAAAAGGGTGGCTGTGCCTGCAGTCTTAGCCAGGAAAGCAAACAAAACTGAAATGTAAATGTTAACTGACCACTTCTAAACTTCAAACGCATTTAAGGTGAAGCTGTGATGTTGGTATATAGATATATATTAAAAAATAGCAGTAGTTGGAA